TTTTACCCCTTTCTCCTGCTTTCCCGGCCTGCTACTCTGTGCTACGCCCGTGCTTACCTTGCTCCCGGAGACCCGGTCCCTCTTGGGAGGGTAACAAGGGGAAGTGTTCAGTGCAGATCAGTGAGTAAGTACAAGCCCGCCTTGTTTCGGTAGTAGATATGAAAAAACCCACCACCTCACCTCTGTTGAGTCAGTGGGTTCTGACCCTAGAGACCCCTCCTTGGGTTTCCCAGGCAGTATCTCTACGGAAGTAGATTGCCCAGTCTCCCTTCCGAGGCATGGCTGGTGGGTTTGAACTGCCAGCCTTCTGGGAGCAGACAGGGGTTCTTAATCATAATGAATGAGGACAAACTCTGATGCACCCTTTGGAAAAGGGTGAAGGTTATTTCTGGGAACGAGAGAGCAGAGGCTGGGTTCAGTTGTGTTCTGGCAGAAGTCCTTCTCACCTCACCCTCACACTCACATACTCCCACGTACTCAGCCCCTTGTGGGCCAATATGGTGCCATGGCATGGTGGCTGTCTCCAGGGTCTGAGCACATGGTAGGGGAGACAGAACCCAGGTTACAGGTCAGATTAAAAGTCTTGGTCCAAGTACTTTGGAAACAGGGAATAGGTTGTTATACTGCTAGACACAGTTTGTGCATGGACCTCAAAAAGGAAAAAAAAAAAAAAAAGTGAGGCAACAGGCTCATCTGGGACTCAAGATTTCCTGGAAGAAAGAATTTTAGATAAGGTGACTCCAAGTTCAAGAATCAAGAATTTAGCTCCCCTGAAATAAGGACCCCAAACACAGAATTACAAGGCTGGGAGTTACAGGGAGGCAGATTTGACTCTATGTAAGGAAGAAGTTTATGACAATTGAAGCTACCCTGCAACGTAATGAGTTGACAGGGTAGGTAGTAAGGATCCTGTCAAGTACAAGCTGGAAGACAACGTGATGGAGATAAACGGGAGGATCAGAATTTCAGACGCTCAAATTTGCTGACATAATGGTGGTGGTGGTGGTATTTATGGTGATGTGACTACAGTACTGGTGGTGGTAGTAATAGTAAGGATAATGGTGGTGGTGGTGATGGTGGAGATGGGGATAACAGTGATGGGAATGGTGGTACTGATGCTGGTATAGTGGTGGTGATGATGGCTGTGGTGACAGGTACCATGGTGATGACGGTAGGGGTGGTTGCAGTGACACTGGTACAGGGGTGATGACAGTCATGGTGACGGTGGTAGTGATATTGGTACAGCCGTGGTGATGGTGGTAGTTGTGATGGGAATGGTGGCAGTGACACTGGTACAGTGGTGGGTGGCGGTGGTAGGGACAGTAACACTGGTACAGTGATAAGGATGAAGGTGGTGGGAATGGTGGTAAAAGGAACGGTGTTGGTGGTGGCGGTGATGCCAAGTGGCGGGGCTGACAATGGGGTGGCATATGGAGTAAATGACTGCCAGTGGAGTCAGGCAAACCCTGAGGATTCATGGTTCCAAAAAGAGCTGTCAAATTGATTTAAATTCATAAGGAGCTTAAATCAAAGATAAACCATTTTAAGTCAACACAGCCTCTCCAGAGAAATATGGGTAATTTAAGCTAATTTTTTTCAAGTAATTAACATGGCCTCCAAGGAAGCTTTCCTTTGCACAGTCTCTCCCATGATGGTTTCACGTTTTCCTCCACTGATCTTAGAAACCCATCATTAGGACTTGCTCCTGCATGGCACCCACTCTCAGCACACTGGAGACAAACTAAACTCTGTTGAGGACAATGCCCTGACCACTGATGAATACTGAGTTTCTCTCCATGCCCCCAAGAATCACTGACCCAGGATGTGCTTGTAGAAACTGCCAGCCGAGGACATTGCTGCAGGTATGGAAAACCTCAGAGAGAGCCTGGGTGCCAAGCGATGAGAAAGACCATGATTCAGTTGGTGATGTGATGGACACAGGGATGTGAGGGTGCCCCAGGGTCTCAGCACAAATTCCCTTCCAGCCTAGAACCCCCTTAAAAACCGCCCTCCAGAACACCATCTTGCTAAACCCTCATTAAGCCCCTTAATTTCGCTAAGCTCGCCTGAACCTATCTTCCATTTCAGCTTGTATAAGCTCTGGGGAGGGATTCCCACGTGTAGAGGGCCTGAGATGCAAACTTGCTTTGATTTATTCTAAACACAACCTCTTCCAAGCTTCCAGGCCGTCCCTTTTCCTAGGTGGCTCACTGCATCCTGTCTCTTTCCCTTGAGATCACGCAGAGATAGAAAAGCAGCCATTATCATTTCTATGTTGATGAACTTTATTCTGGACCCTACAGAAAGCAGGACAGTTCCTGACACAGGCTGGAAGCAAGGGTTAAATACGCGCTTTGCTGGATAAAAACGTTCTTTGCTTTAACTTATTGCTTCTGAAAGCTAACAACCCTGGAAGCAGCGGCCTTGGGAGGCCCGGGCTTTGCATACAGAGGCAGCTGCTGTAGCAACAGATGAATTTAAACTTGAGAAGTGGCTCCTGGTTAAATGGGAAGACTGCTTATTCTAATTCCCCTCTGGTAGCACATCTTACAAAGAGAAAGAAATGGTGCTTATTAGCTATTTGAAGCTGGAATTCCGAGGCTTGCTTTCTGTCAAACTCAAAGCCAAATCTTTTCTATTGTTCCTGTCCTCATCTTGCTGAGAATATTGGGCCCTTCAATAAAGAACATCCTTTATCTGTTTAAACCGAATGATGCAACGAAGTCTGGAAGACTTACAATTCAAGCAAGCTAGCCTACCTTGGGAGGCTTGTTCAAGATGGCCACACAGGACTTTTGCACCTGAATTTCTAGAAATTACCTTCTGCTGCATGGCTCCTGTGAGTTCTCAGGTCTCTACCCAGCCAGGGATACGAGACAACGTTCTGGAAAAGATCCTCTTACCTCCACTTCCCCGCAGTCACACTCCTCTCCCTCTTCCACATATCCATTGCCACACTTCTGGCCCCCGAAGGACTGCTTGACTTCCGGCAAGTTAAAGAGGCACATCCCCATTCCTTTCTCCAGGCTGGTCTCCAGGTCCCTCCTGCTGCAGCTACTGAACACCATGGGGAAGGGGTACCTGAGAAAGAAGAGCCCAGAACAGTAAGTCCTCAGAGCGTGGAGTCGCCGTTCATGAGCTGTTATGCATGGTGGCACTTCAACATCTGCCCCAACATGTGTCCGCTGTTGGTCTCAATGGACAAAGGCGCAAGGACTCAGCGCATAACAAGGGGCTCTCAGCTGTGTCAAATAATCACCCCTGTGCAGCACCAGTACTCTCCAGGCAGTGCTGCAATAGGAAAGAAATGACCTTCCATGGTTTGCAAGTCAGCAAATTTAAACAGAGCCTTATAAGAGATGTTGTGAATCACCCTTGGGAAACTGATAGAATGGAAAGTGTATTCTCACAGTTGCTAGTTAAATGAACACGTGTCAACACCCTTACGGGAAAGTCAAGAAGAAAAGAAAAGAGGGTTATGCTTCCCAATTCTGTTTACAGTGACACAGCCCTCAACGAAGGTGAGGATCTGCCAATACTGGCAGTCGGGCCTACGAGGGCAAATTACCGCCTTCCCCAAGCACAGCTATCAGAGGGTGGAGGTGGTCCCCAAATGCAGGTCCTACTCTGGCCTGAAACACTAGCCACAAAGGGCTGGGACAGCAAGGCTCCTTTCCTAGAGGGGCTTCCAGAGTGGGCTGGGTACTTTTTTCTTTGCTTGGGGGCAGTGTACATAAGCAACCAGAGATCCACTCACAATCTCTACACGTCTTTCAGTGACACTGCTCACATGCTTCACGCTGAATCCCCTCCCATTCCCAGTATCTCGACTCATGGTTTCACCATCATTCCTTTAGACCCTCTGCCCATTGAAGTTCTCAGCTGTGCTTTGGATGAACTACTGTCATCTTGAAGTCACACAGATTCTTCTTTATAAAAGCACAATGCTCGAGGCATTCTTTATTAACTGAGCTGAACTGCTGTGTAGTTTAATGATGGCTTCACGGGACAGTTTTGGTTCAAGGTTTACCAATTACTTCTGGGGAACAGATTCAGGGTTCCCCCAGTGTCAATGGATACAGTAAGTCTGATTTCCATATGAATTTGAAGACCTCTTCCATGATTTTCCTTCCTTCGATTAGGATCCATCTATTGGATCCATGGTCAAAATGTTCAGTAATGGTACCGAGGCACCACCCATATCTCCTGGTCTCATGGCAAATGTGTACAGATTCTTGACAATGGAGAGTGAGGAGAAGGGATGTGGGTATTTAAGTTGGGAGTGTCCCTTCTTTATGTCACCACTTTTCCCGTCTGCGTCCTAAATGAGTATATTCTAAGGTCTTTAGACGTGCAAGTTGGGCTGACTCCCTACACTGAGGAAAGCCCATGCAGCCCAGAGCTCCAGATGACCATGTAGAAGGGACACAATTCTACTGCCTAACTCCACTACCATCAGGCCAATCTCAACTCATAGTGACTCTACGGGATAGAGTAGAACTGCCCCACAGGGTTTCCAAGGCTATAAATCTTTATGGAAGCAGATTGCCTCACCTTTCCCGCACAGAGCAGCTGGTGAGTTCCAACCTCTGACCTTTTGGTTAGCAGCTGAAGACTTTAAGCTGTGCCACCAGAGCTCCCTTCTATTTTCTAAAGCCCCTGAAATGTGTGGCTTCTTTATTGTAGCAGCTGGTGTTGCCCAACATGTACCGTGTGTCCGTCTCTTTCACAAATGAATTTTCCCATGTCTCAGGCAGCAGAGATCATAAGGGAGAAGGTGCCAGAAACTCAGAAGGTTTTAGTACTTATAAGGAAGCAGGGTCTGCTGTCCAGCGGGCCCACGAGCCCTCCCCCCACAGGGACATTTACAGAGTGACATTACACTTGGATCACAATCAATTGGCCAAACTGATGCAAGCTGCAATGCTTCCCCATAGACATCCCACTCCACTTGCCACCCAATGAGTGAGCCTGGCAAGATTTCGAAATTGTGACAATTTCCTCTGCCAAACTGATAACACTGCTCTGTCTCCCCAAGTGTTCTCTATCAATCTCAGGCTATTAACTCTGGAGTGTAATTGTAACCTACAAGTAAATTAATAATTTGCATCTGTTGGATGCAAAAGCAATCAACCACAACTTGCCTTAATGAGGCTGCATAAGAATGCTTCTTGGGATATCTTTATGACTTCCCTTGGCAGACAAACTGATTCAAACATCACCTGGGACTTGCCTGCTGCCCCCTTGCTTGGAACCCTGCCAAGCACCTTCCCCATGGGCTGTGCTCATCCACCTACAGCCTCCCCATCCATTCACCACCCTAAGATTCAACTCCCCCCAGGAAATGGTCCTTGAAAAATTCTAGCCCTCAGATATAAGCATATTACTTATGCCTTATACCCAGAATCTGTCTACTAAGTACAATTTCAGTCCAATGCTCTGTCATTAGTTATCATTCCCTTCCCACATTGTCTTGTTCCCACAAGGATATAAATTCCTAAGAGGAGGGACTGGGAAAATAAGTTTTGAGGGGGTAACTATTTACTGTGCCTGCTTTTAAGCCAGGTTATATGGTGGATGTGTTTTCATAGTAATATTTCTTTTAGGCATCCTTTCTTGTAGGAACTGAAATGTACACAACAATCCAGCAAAGCCAGTATTACCACCCCGTTTTGCAAAGGAGGAAAAAGGACTGGTTAATGGGTTCACAGTTAGGGGGCAGAGACTAAACAGGACCATGTCTTGATTCCAAGTTCCATAATGAGAGAAGACATTTTTCTCATTACTGCTGCCAGCCCTCTATGGACTACCTGTGGCAAATAGCTGAGACCTGGAAGGGGATCAATGAGCCTGGGGGACTGACTGAGACACAGAGGACATGTCCTTCCACCACCACCCAATACAGGCCTAGACCAGTGGCGCTCAAGGAGTGTGTCACAACCTACAGCAGCAGCAACGGTAGTGCCTGGAAACTCAAAAAAATGCAAAATCTCAGCTACACGTCAGGCCTACTGAGTCCCAAAGCTCTAGGGTGGGGCCCTGTGACCCATGCTCTCTTCCTGTGAGGCGGGATTCACACTGCAACCATCTTACAGTGTACACGTCTGTGGCTTCGCCAGCCTGTACAGGCATGACCGTTCTCGAATCCCAGAGCATTTTTCTTACTCTAAAAAGAAACACTGTGTCCCATAAGCAGCCCCCCCCCCTTCCTCTATAGGAAACCACTCATCTGCTTCCTTCTCTATGGACTTGCCGATTCTAAACCTTTCAGATACACGGAATCAGACGCTAGGTGGCCTCTGTGAGTCTGGCCTCTTTCACCTGGCATCATGTTTTCCAGGTCCATCCATGCCACAGCACAGGTCACACAGCCCCATCCTTTCTGAACCTCACATCTCCTGGATGGAAGACGCTTGTGTGCCCATTCACCTGTTGACAGTCCAGATGAGTGTGATGCCCAGTACAGTTTGGAAATGCCTGGCCTGCATTTAAAATGCAGATTTTGCTGTACAGCTGCTCCAAGGACAGAGCTGCCCTACGGACAGAGCCATTTGTTTCAGAACAAGAAGAAATGCCAGCCAGGTGTGTCTAGATTGCCCTGCACACATTTTACATTTATTGTCTTTTGTGTACCACGAAACCATTTGCTAAGAAACGGTCAATGAAGACGGTTTTAAAACCCTCCTCTCAATCCCGTGTCCCTAAAAGCTAGGCTCAAAGTATGCATGGCTTTTCCAATACCTTTACATATTCTAGGGAACAGACTGACTTGTTATCAACCTGCACGTGAATGAGACCACAGGAGTTAGGGTTTATTACACAGTCTCGGGGATACACGTCAAGGCCTGACACTCCTCTCCCACTTGCTTCCAATCCCATGATCTGCCTTGCCCTCACCTGTACTCCCCCTTTCTTATTTCCCAGTTTTGTTCCCTGAAGCATCGGAGCAAAGAACCTGGACTTGGCCATGGAGCTGGGATGATGTCACCAACCTCCTTGTGCAACTCATGTTCAGTAGTTTGATAACACAAATCCTTGCTTTCATCCATAGTTTTCAGCAAGCTTGTCACAATGGAAATTCATAATGGTTCTAATAAATAATCCTAAATATTTCAGAAGGCAGCTGAGCTGACACGTAATAATGACAGGCTGCTACCACACGACAAGATGGGAAAATCACTCGCAAAAGAAACCCTTCTGCATGACACGTGAACCCTTTGAACCACTGGTCCCTGGGGCCCCGGACAGAGTGCTGTTCTCAGCTCACGACCCCAGGCTTTCTCCTAGACACCCTGGCAGGGGGAAAGTGGGCACTGCCTGGAGGAGCCCTCTCTATTTAACCAGCAGGGACCCTCGGGGGCAAAGCTCCCTGCTGAAGGCAAGCTGTGACGTAAAAAAAAAAAAAAAAAAGCTGAAAGAGACAGCTAGGCCATTTTGGAAAAAAACCAAAGAACAAAAAACAAACCCCAAACGCTACACTTTTCAAAAGAGAAATGCCATATGCAGCTTTGTCCTGTAAACGCAGCCACGGCTTCTTATTTTAGCCGCCACACAATGCCAAAACACGGAGAGGGTCACTTCTACTTCGATAAACTCACAGCCAGAAAAATCTTTTCTTTTGGATCCTGCAGTGCCTTTCCCCAGTGTTTTTCTGGGGCGAATCCCACGCAGCCAGTCTGTCAACACTGACACAGACGTTGGAGGTGATTTACCTCGGAGAAGCTCTGGAATTAACCTAAAGGAAGTGCTCTTCTTGCTGGAAATCAGGCAGAACCCACCAGGGCTGGGGGTCAGCCGCCCCCTGGTTTCCTCAGCCCCTCATGGTGGTCCTGCCTTGAGCTCTGGGCTGACGCGGGCACACGTGCTGACTACAGGAAAGAGGTGAAGTGACCGGAGAAGGATGGAACGTCCTGAAGAAGCTGACCCAGGCAAGTAGCCGGAAACTGATGTTGCAGCAAACCTGGGTGGCAAGCCATCCAGTCCTTCCTTCAGATCGACTGAAACACACTCCCATCACACAGCTGGCAACCGATTCGATGGCACACAGCCAGCTGGTTTGGGTGAAAGCAGGCTGCTCAGGCTCCCGGATTTCCTTCTGTGGCCACGAAGGGCCTGGTGATTTCCTGATGGAGGAAGCCAGATTCCGCAGGCCGGGGGCTCTTCCCTTAGCTGGGTGGGCAGCGCAGAGGCAGCCCCAAGAACCAAATCAGAAGATGTGCCAGAGCCTGACCACCAGCGCCCCACTAGGTTTAATCTTCACATCCAGAAAACGGGCCAACAACGTGCTCACACGCTGCGAACCGTGAGGTTCTGCCTCCACTCGGGAGCATCCCTCTCACCACCGTCCGAACGTCCATGGTGCCTGGAAACAAAGGCCAGGTCAGGGGTTCATCCAGCACGCCTGGGTGCAGCCCAGGAGAGACCGCACCTCTCAGGGAGGAGCCCAGCAGCTCGGGGCAGAGAAAAGTCACCTGCATAAAAAGCAGTGACGAGAGAGGGACGTGGATCTGAGTGGGGTGACATTCTGCCCACCCAAGGGTGCACAGGGGTGTGACATTCAGAGCACTGTCTCCATGACAGAAGGGGAACCCAGGCTGAAGCCAATGGGAAATGTATCCTCACATCAACTCGAGGCCCAGAAAGTGACGGCATTAAGCTGATGCTGACCCATGGGCCCACCAGAGGGGCTGTGGGGGAAGAGGGAACCAGCTGCCAGGCGTGCACAATCAAACTGCCCTTAGTAGGGCTTTTCAATGGCTGACAGCAGACCCCGGGGGCCCAGAATGGAGCTATCTGCAGGAGAACATCATCACTCGTGCTCCAAACACACGAACTCTGACCTCTGCTCCCCCGCCACACAAACCAATTAAATTACAAATGTACTGCAGGGGAATTTTTAATAAAGACGGAGACCAGCTGAGCTCTGGTTGTTGTGAGGCACTTAGGAGGCTTCTGGAAGTTACCGGAAGGTGGATTTTCCACTTCTGTGCTATGATGGCTGTTCCCTCCTGGACCAAGTCCTGAAATGCAAGGTGCTTGAGGGCAGAGGTGCGGTGTCCCATGAAAGGGACCCCATCTCGATGGCTGCGGTGAAGGCACCAGCCCTAGCAGATGGGACCTGTAGCTTTTCAGAGTCATTAAGAGAGGCCACTGACCGCATGGGGCTGTGGGACTGGGCTCACCCAGAGGAGATCCAAGGTGATCTGGGACCTGCTAGTCTCTGAGTTCATACATCCTAGCCTCCCACCCCAGCAGACGGACCTGCACGGGGCACGTCTGCTGCCTCTGATGGCCCTGCCAGGCCGTGACAGGAAACGTACTGTTAATCAAATATGACAGAAACGACAGTCAGGACCGCTCAGCCACCCAAACAGGGTTGATGTCTACCTGTGCCCTGCTGGGTCTTGCTGAGCTCCAGGTGGTGAGAGCCTAGGGGTCAGGGGTCGGGGGTTGTGAGAGCAACCTAGGACTCCAGAGCGTGAGGAGCCAGCTGAAGGCTCTCCTGCTCCCAGGCACTGGGGGAGGGGCAGGGAAACGGTCCAGGAGGCAGAAGCTGCCAGCTGACGTCCAGAGTCTCCCTGCCCGACTGTGGGGGTCAGGGCCACCTCAGTTTTCTCATCTGTAAAGTGGAGGAGAGTGTACGTGCTCTTAGAAGTTTGATGAGCCAATGGCAGGGAAGGTGTCAAAGTTCTTTGTAAACCAGAGAATGGCCCACCTATACAGGGTCTGTCTTTTATAACTACTTTTAGATTTTATATTTTCATCCCCCACCCCGCCCTTCTTCAGGCAAATGAAGCAAAGGCTTCCAGAAGATGCCCCAAAGGCCAGGGATTCTGCTTTTTGAAAATAAATTGCCCCCATCACCCAGATTCCCATGGAGCATGTCAAAGGGGTGGCATCCTGTGTCCCTGGGTTTTCTCATACCTTGGTTTTTGATGATGTTTCTTAAATCTCATATCATGTCTATTCTTACGTGCTATTGAAAATCCACGGTAGGATAATGAGGCACGTACAAAACCTGAAATGGCATGTCAGCACACACTGGAGTTGGCATAAAAGACAACAGCCTCAGAACCCTCTCCCTAGAAGCTGAGCTTTCACACAATAGCTAAAGATATGGCCATAGTTTGTACCCCTCTGGTGGGCTGTAATGTCTATTCATCTATCCACCTGCCCAACAATTTTTCCATTCATTCACCCACCCACTCCCTCATCATCCATCTATCACTCATCCATCCACTCAACCCTTACCCATCTGTCCATCCACCTACCCCACACACCTATCCCCTTATCCACCCACACAGTCCTCATTCAGGTATCCATCCATCCACCCATCCTTTCAGTCAAGAAATACTCATCGAGCTCCTTCTATGTGCTAAGCACTATTCTAGGTGCCAGGGAATTGGCAGCGAACAAAACAGACACAATTCCTAACCTCCTGGAACTTAATGTGGACCCTTCCAGATTTTGCTGGTTACAGAGAGGCCCAGAATTCACCTCTGACCTCACACCATGGCCTCCATACCACGTGTCCTGAGGAGAGGAGGAAGCAATGGTTGTGTGTGTGGGAGGGGGATTGGCAGAATTTCAGCTGCAATGTTTTCACACATGTTCTACCACAAATAAAATGCTGGATTAGCAAGCCAATGACAGGAAATAATTCTCTGCTTTCGTAACATAGGTTGGAAAAGGCCTGCAGAATGAAACAATTTATAAACGGGGCTGCCTTCCACCTCTCAGAAGTCCCACAGGGACACTGCTCTCTAATGGGGTGGCTTCAGTCCCCACATGGAGCCCAAACATGACCACTTCCGTGTGGCCAACACTCCAGGCGGCTGGGCTGCATGGCTGCCTAAGCCTCACTGGACCATCTGTCTGTTTGCCTGGAGGTCCCATGAACCTGCAGTCAGATGCTGAGGACATTTGTATCTCCAACCAGCGCCCCACAACAGATGCTATCCTGCCCCTCCTGAGGATCACAGCTGCTACCACTTTGGATCTGAGAGGAAGGTGGAAAGGCAGGCGCTTGCACTTGGGCAACTTGAACTCTGGCACCATTATGTCCTGATGCTTCCACTTTGACTGTCTGGAAAAGTTGCTGTGGCGAGCTGCCATGGAGTGGGTCCCCTGACCCATGGTGATGCCATGCCCAACGGAAAGAAATGTTGTCTGGCCCTAGGCCACCCTCACAATTGGTTGTGGGTTAGACCGTTGTGATCAATGGTCTTCCCTGACTTCCCAAGCCTGTCTCTGTAGTCTTATTCTGGAAGCTCTGCGGAAACCTGTTCAGCCTCATAGCCACAAGCAGGTACCCACCAACAGATGGCGGTGGTTGTGCATAAAGTACACTGCTTGGGAACTGAACCTGGGTCCCTTGCAAGGAAGGCCAGAATTCTACCAATGGACGACCATGGCCTTCCTTTGAAAGTTTAGATGTTCGTTTAACTTTCTAAGCTCCATCCGATTTCCTTATCCTTGAAATGAGTATAACAATTCCCACCTCACTAAGTTCACTGATGAAATAGGAAATCACTAATGCAGTCCTGCGGGAGCTCTGGTAGCATAGTGGCTAAGACACTTGCCTGCTAACCAGACGGCTGGTGGTTCAAACCCACCAGCCACTCCTCGGAAGGAAGGTTGGGCAATCCTACTTCCGCAGTGATACTGCCTTGGAAACCCAAGGAGGGGTCGCTATGAGTCGGGTTTGACTCGACGGCACATAACAACAACAACAACAATGCAGTCCTGCGGGAGCTCTGGTAGCATAGTGGCTAAGACACTTGCCTGCTAACCAGACGGCTGGTGGTTCAAACCCACCAGCCCCTCCTCGGAAGGAAGGTTGGGCAATCTACTTCCGTAGTGATACTGTCTTGGAAACCCAAGGAGGGGTCGCTATGAGTCGGGGCCGACTCGATGCAGTCCTGCAGGGTCAAGGCCAAGTCTGTCTATGTCCGTTCCCCCTGAAGCAGGTATTTCAGGAGCAATGGTCATGCAGATACATCTCCCTAGCTGGACTGCTCTGCTTTGTTCCCAGTTTAAGAGAGGGCGACAATTCCACCATGCCTCAGGGCAGTGGCTCTTAGTATTGTTAAACCAAAAAACCAAAACTATTGTCACTGAGTTGATTCCAACTCATAGTGACTCTGAGAGTTATTATTCTTACTCTGTGGTAACTGGAGACAAATTCATTGACTTTTCAGTGAGCACTATCTAATTACATGGGGAGGAAACAGGAACACACTCACACTGCTGTGTCCCCTTCTTGAACTGTTTTCAAGACTCCCTCCCATCGGTTCATTTTTCCTTTATGATAATGTCCGGATGCAGCAAACTAAATGACTCTGGCTGAATAATTAAATGGATTCGAACCAGGAATATTTTCATCTGACCGAGCTTTCTCATTAGACAGCTGCTCTCCCCCCGCTTGGATAAAGATTTCCATTTTTATTTTTCTAGTATCTTGAAGAAGGAAGTAAAAATTTTCTTAAACTTTCCATTATGAAAAATACATAGTTGCCCTTAATGAAGAGCTGATATGGGAAATAAATTTCTTCAATTCCATTCTGGAAAAATCCATTCATGACAAATGTATTCATGCTATCAAGTAGCTCTCACAAGGTTAAAAGGAAGTGAGGTTTAATTGTCTGTATTCCGCACTATTTTTCCAGTTCAAGTTTCAAACAAATCCACAGAGTGAGGACTTTCTGCCTGCTTCACAGTTCTATCAATTCCCGCTGCAGCCAAAGCTCTGAGGGATTTTTCACTGAAAACTGTAGTTCATTGTATTCCTTTAAAATACGTTTTCCGACAGTTCTCCTCAAAAAAGAAATCCAGTTTCACCCTAGTGCGAGTTAGCCATTTTCAAGGAGAGATCTGCCTAACCCCTACTTGATTCTTCAGACATCAGCTCAGACTGGACTTTATTCCAGAATGTTCCCCAGGACCCCTTCCAACCTTTGCTCCTCAATCATCAAGAATTATTGGGCATTTTTAAAAGATGTGAAATACTATCATGGTTATGCTTAAAAATGTGTCTTTACTGTTTAAGAACATCCATTGAAGTACTAGACAAGAAGCTAGCTACCCAGGACCAGAAGGTTGGTGGTTCAAACCCACCAGCCACTCCACGGAAGCAAGACTGGGCAATCTACTTCTGTAAAGATTTACCACCTCAGAAACCCAATGGGGGTCGCCATGAGTTGGAATCGACTCCACAGCAGTGGGTTTGCATTGGTTTGGTTCGGTTTGTGTCAACAGGCTGGTTAGGCGCCCCCTGCTGGGTCCATGTCACCCACAATGCCCCCCAATCAGAGCCCTTGGCCCTCCCAGCATGAGTTCCATGAAGTCAAGGACCCTGCCTTTGGTGTCTCTGCTCCACCCTGCACGTAGGACATAGCACACAGTAGGGACAGAGCAAGAACTGGTTGGGCAAACGAGTGGTCTTGCTGTGACTGTCACCTCCCCTACTCTATGAACTCCATTTTCTGCAGTCCAAGGCAAGCCTGCTGCTCTCTCTATTTTCATTAAGAAAGGGTGAACTCAAAGCAATCTATACATTCAATGCAATCCCAATCCAGATCCCATCAACATTCTTTAGGGATATGGAAAAAATGATCACTAACTTTATATGGAAAGG